CCATTGATTAATGTCTTTCTTTCATTGCCACTACTAATTTTTTGTCTTTATGCATTTGCTTTGGTTACGAATCGGGCTGTGAACCTTAAGGTCAGCGGTTCGAAACTACCAGTCGCTCCGCGGGAGAAAGATGAGGCTTTCTACTCCCGTAAAGATTTACACCCTCGGAAACCCTGTACAGGGTCGCTATGGGTCGGACCCGACTCGATGGCACTTAACAACAACAACAACAACATGCATTTGCTTATTCTAGATATTTCGTAGCAGTGAAATCCTAAAATGTTGGTCCTTTTTTGTCTGACTTGTTTCACCCAGAATGTTTTCAAGGTTCATCTGTGTCATAACATATTCCATAACTTCATTTATCTTTTTCTTGTTGAAGCGTTAACATTTTCTATAAATTAATGGGACCAGTCCATATCTGATATGTTGTTGCAAAAAATTTGTTCCCAGTCTGTGGGTTCTCTTTTTGTTCTTTTGATGCACATAAGTGTTTAATTTTTAAGAGTTCCTAGCCCCCAAAAAAGGAGCTCTGGTAGCGTAGTGGTTACAAATCGGGCTGCGAATCTCATGGTCAGCTGTTCAGAACTACCAGCTGTTCCACAGGAGAAAGATGAGGCTTTCTGCTCCCGTAAACATTTACCGCCTCGGAAACCCTGTACAGGGTTGCTTTGAGTCGGAACCGACACCACGCACATAACAACAGCTCCCATAAGCATTTTATTTCTCAAAATATTCATAAATTGGAAATCAGTGATTTAAACCTTCATGCAACAGACCAGAGCAAACTACAATGGTGATTCATTTATTCAGCAAACAGACTTCAAGTTCATAGTATTTTGAGGCACCTGTGTCAAAGAAGCCCTGGTGGCACCTACCCACAAGTTCTGCCATTCAAATCCACAAGCCACTCCTTGAAAGAAAGCCTGTCTACTCCCGTAAAGATTTAGTCTCAGAAACCTTATAGGATCCGTAAGAGTTGGAATTGACCTGATGTTGATAGATTTTTTTAAAGGATGTCAAATGTATTGTGCTGTGAGAGAACAGAAGATAAACATGTCATGCAGAAATAATAGAGGCGGGAGGGAAGGGAGAGTAATTCATTGACTAGAGGGTAGATACATGTTAGCTTTGGTGTCGGGATGGCAATATATAAAAACACAGGGAGGGAGGCATAAGAATGATGAAGATGGGTGACAACATGGCTTAAGTATTATAGAGGTGTTGTTGTTGTTAAGTGCCATCGAGTTGGTTCTGACCCATAGCGACCCTGCATAGGGTTTCCAAGGAGCGACTGGTGAGCTTGAACCACCAAGCTTATAGTTCAAATGACTTTGCAGTCTGGCGCATTAACTTACAGCGCCACACCAGGACTCTAGAGGTGTAGATAGTGGATGTATACACAACTTTGGAACAACAGTGTTCTGTGTGTTGATATATTGATAAAGACATGCTGAATGGGTAAGGCAGGAAGAGTAGGATATAGATGTGTGTGTGTGTTGTTAGGTGCTGTCCAGTTGGTACTGGCTCATAGCAAATTTATGCACAATAGAGCAAAATACTTGCCCGGTTCTGCGCCAGTCTTACAATGGTTGCCATGCTTGAGCCCATTGTTGCTGCCACTGTGCCAGTCTACCTGATTGTGGGTCTTCTTTTTCACTGACCCTCCATTATGCAAAGCATGATGTCTTTCTTCAGGGACTTTTCCCTCCTGGTAATATGTCCAAATTTTGAGAGACGAAGTCTGGCCATCTTGGAGCATTCTGGCTGTACTTCTTCCAACACAGAGTTCTTTTTGCAGTGTGTGGTACTTTTACTATTCTCCTCCAGCACCATAATTCAAACGCATCAGTTCTTGTAAAGTCTCTCTTATTCATTGTCCAACTTTCACAGGCATTCGAGGCTATTGAAAATACCATTTTTTGAGTCAGGCTCACCTTAGTCTTCAAATTGACATCTTTGTTCTTGAACTTTAAAGAGGTCTTGTGCAGTGGATTTGCCTAATGCAGTAAACACGTTGTTTGATTTCTTGGCTGCTGTTTCCACGAGTGTTGAGTATTGTTCCAAGCAAAATGGATCTTTTCAATCTTTTCTCCATTTATTGTTGTTTATTGGTCCAGTGGCGAGGATTTTTGTTTTCTTTACATTGAGATGCAACCCATACCAAAGGCTATGGTCTTTGGTCTTCATAAGTAATTATTTTAAGTCCTCTTCACTTTCAGCAAGCAAGATTGTATCATCTGCATATTGCAGATTGTTAGTGAGTCTTCCTCCAATCCTGATGCCATGTTCTTCATATAATCCAGTTTTTCAGATTATTTGCTCAGCATACAGGTTGAATAAATATGGTGAAAGAATACCACCCTGTCACACACCTTTCCTAATTTTAAACCATCCAGTGTTCCTTTGTTCTGGTCGAACAAATGCCTCTTGATCTATGTACAAGTTTCTCATGAGCACAATTAAGTGCTCTGGAATACTTAATCTCCACAACGTTGGCCATAGTTTGTCATGATCCACTTTGCATAGTCAATAAAGCACAGGTAAACATCTTTCTGATGAAAACTCAATAGATATTATCAAACATTTTAAGTCAATGAGTTGATGGGCCTGGTGGCTCAGGACCATAGTCTGAGGGGACACCACAGCCAGTTGGCATAATATAGCCTACATAGACAATGTTCTACATTCTGCTTGGTTGAGTAAGGGTCTGGGATCTTGAAAGCTCATGAACAGCTGTCTAAGGTACAGTTATTGGTCTCTCCATGTGTAGAAAAAAGAGTGATAAGAATTGAAGAGGCTTAGAATCAGTCAGTCCCGTGGACTAGTGGAACCATGTGAACATCAATCTCCATGACTCTGTGACCAGAAAAACTGGACAGTGTTGAGCTATCCCACCAACTATCCTGAAAGGGATCACATTAGAGACAGAAACTGAAATTAAACCCAAAATTACTTAATTGGGGAAAAAAACCCCAACAAGAACAACCCAGGTTTATTGGTCAGAAAGAGACAGGAGGGAACCGAGACTATGGAACTTGACCACACTTCAGGTCTGGAAAAGAACTCACCCTCATGGCTCAGCTATCCACCAAAAAGTAGATAGGTTCATAGAGGCATGCAACAACACTAGCAAGGTGTACTAACCAAGGAATGGTCTAAGGACAAAGTTAAGAAGAGATAGGGAGGTGGGTGAAATGAAATAAGAAACAGAGAGAGGAAGCTGAATAACTGATGTTGTATGGAGGGGATTGTAAATACAGAGATGAAACAACGTGTATAATTTGTTGAATGTAACGTTGATGACCTTGCTTGTAAACCTTTACGTAATTCACATTAAAAAGTTTTTTTAAAACCCCAAAACATCCCACATACAACAGAATGAAATACTACCTGGTCCTGCACCATCTTCACAATAAATGCTTTGAGAAAAAGAGAAAGAAAACACTGGATTTAGTGGGCAGAAATAGACTAGAAGAACCTGAGACTATGGTCCTTGATCAACCACTCTTCAGGGTCTAGTAAGGAACTCACCACTGTGACCCAATTTTTAGCCAAGTAGTAGATGGGTTTATTGGGAGTGGGGGTGGGGCGACAACATTGGCAAGGTATGCTCACCATGAAATGGTCAATCATTCAGGTTCCAAAGGGCAACATTTTCCTAAGGACAAAGTTGAGAAGGAATAGGATGGTGGGTGGATCAGATTGGAACCACAGGGAGGAAGCAGGATAACTGTTGTCACATGGAGGGGATTGTAATCATTGAGATAAAACAAAGTGTATGATTTGTTGAATATAAAACTGATAATATTGTCCATAAACCCTTCAGTCAGTTCACAATAAAAAATGGAATTAAAAAAATAAAAAGTAGCAATTTTATTCAAATTCATCATAAAGTTGAAAATGTAAATATTGTTAGTGTTTCTGCTTGGAATTCTGTCAGTCAGGTCTTAGGAAGAACTGGGACCATGCAATGGTTTAGAGTCCCCACATGGTATAAAATGTGATTTACTTCTGAAAGTTGTTGTTGTTAAGTGCCGTTGAGTCGGTTCCAACCCAAAGCGACCGTGCATAAGGTTTCCTAGGAACGACTGGTGAGCTTGAACCACCTACCTTGCTGTTCAGACGGCTTTGCAGTCTGGTGCATTAACCCACAGCGCCACACCAAGATTCCACTTCTGAAAGGTCACTGCTAAATTCAGAATTGATTTGATGGAAAATTTTAAGAATAGCATGTTACAGTCATTAATGTATTATTGGATGAATGTTACAGGCTCTGTTAGGTTATTGTTTTTGTTAGCGGCTGTTGAGTACAATGGGATCAGGCCATTAAGGGCCACAATAATGACTGTTTTCAGAAATAGTTCTCCAGATTTTTCTTCCTAGTCTGTCTTACTATGATTGCTTAAATACCTTAGTTAAGTTTCTTGAAAGAAAAGAAATAGTCATGTCATACTGCAACTAAGAGTAATATCTTAATATAAGCAATTAAGGTGTGTTTGTGTTTTTAGATTTTTAAGCCTGAGATCTGTTGGAAGTAAATCTCCAGGCCTTTCTTCCACAGTGCCTCTGACTGGGCTTGAATTGCCAACTTTTTGGTTAATAGCTAAGTGCTCAACTCTTCATGTTCTCGTGGACTCTTAATATCACAACAGAGGTGGTTTTGGAGGCTGAGATAATGACTCCTACTAGAAGAGAGAGAGAGAGTGTGTGTGTGAGTTGATAAAAAACCTGTTCCTAGGTTTATGATAGTGGGCACCCATCCAGTTATTTAGGAATTCTTTTGAGCTTTAGTATCTGCTGTGACATGCCAGCTGCAACAGCCTCCCTCACTTTGAGTCCTGCCTATGGGTACTGCCCAGGCTGCCTTCACAGATGTGAACAAGCAATACACTGAGTGTTCAAAATGTAATATTTTACCAATTGCATCTTCCTGACAAGACATTAGAAGGCAGGTTTTAATGTCCTCTCTCTCTCTCTCTCTCTCTCTCTCTCTTTAGCTCTGCTTATGACAATGTCAACAAAGTTCGAGTTGCTATCAAGAAAATCAGCCCTTTTGAGCATCAGACCTACTGCCAGAGAACCCTGAGGGAGATAAAAATCTTACTGCGCTTCAGGCATGAGAACATCATTGGCATCAATGATATTATCCGTGCACCAACCATCGAGCAGATGAAGGATGTGTATCCTTTGCAGGCAGCTGACTCCACAGCTAGGTCACCTTTTTTTGAAGAAATAGCACTTGGAATTATTTGAATTTATCAGAATAATGTCATATGTAAGGGGAAATTTTAATTCACTTACCAATACTCTATAATGCTTTCATCATTTGCAGTATTTCTCTGGTTCATATTATTGGTTGTCTATAACTTTTATTATCATTGAGCAAATCCATTATTTCCTCTGTATAATTAAAGTCTGGGTTGATGCCATTTTCAGTCGTTCTCCCCCCCCCCACACACACACACTTAAATTATGGTTTGTTTTACCATCAAGAAAAGGAAAAGGTAGTAGACTACAAAAGAGCATCCTCTGATTCTACCTGGTCAAATCCATATTGTTCTGATCTTAGATAATGTTGTTAGGTCTCAACTTCCTCATCTTTTTTTTTTTTTTAAACGTTTTCATTGTGAATTATGTGGTAGTATCCTGGTGTGGTGCTGTGGGTTAATGTGCCAGACTGCAAAGCCGTTTGAATTGCAGTGTTGGTGGTTCAAGCTCACCAGCTGCTCCTCACAAACCCTATACAGGGTTGCTATTGGATCGGAACTGACTCATTGGCACTTAACAACCACAACAAATACATGGGCGAACATTAGCTTTACATTCATCCTGTCTTATTTCATTCCATTGCAATGATTACAACCCCCTGCATTCATCATCAAACAACCAAAGGGTACATTCCGCAAGCCTGACCCCCGGCCATCAGCACACACAGCCCCTCTCCCTCCCCGAGTCCAGAGTCCTCAGCTGCTCCATCTCTCCACGTCATAGTCTCTGCTTCCATCTCTGGTGTCACTGCTTATCTGGAAGGGTCCCGCATTCCGCTTTTCTCCCTTGATGATCCCAGGGACCTCTGCTCCTGGATTGCCATATCAACCACTCCTCTCCTTTTGTTATAAAATGTCTACCTTTACTTTTCCAGCACTCTCAGTCAGTCCTGATAGCAATCATTCACAGCTGAACCACAAGAGTCTTATTCCCATCTTCTTTCATCAGCCTGGTCCAGACCAGTTGGAAACCACTCAGTAGAAATTCTACCCTTCTCTGCACCCTCTGGACTACTGGGTTCCCTATTGAAAGCTTGTAAATTGCCCACCCTTGTCTACCCTGTGTGCCAAGGGAGTGGAAATGATCCTCACTCTAAAGATTGGGTCTCGGTTTTGAGCTACTCCATCCATAAGTATAGGTGAAGTTCATCAAATTGTAGCAGATTACTCTTTCTTCTCTTCTTTCTTCTAGTCAAGTTCTGATCATCCAGCCATTGAAGCCAGGACAAATGGGTACTATCTGCAAGTATGGGTGTTCTTGTGCATCTCCCCTCACTTCGTATCAGCTGGATGGTTAATTCTCTGCTCTAGTCCTCTGTGGCCATGTCCCTGACCCTAGGTCCAGGAGTCCCCAGGTCTCTACAGACCTGCTGGCCAACCAGGTCTTAATCCAGGTTAACAGGAGTCTGTTGAACGTGGTCCGACTTAGCTCACAGCTTCATTGCAGTTTTCCCCCCACTTCCTCTTATCAGTGACCAACGTGGTCAGCAGCAAGACCACATGCCTGCTTGTGTATTCCCCTTGTTTTAGTCTTCTTGTTGTTATGTGCCGTGGAGTTGATTCCAACTCATAGCGACCCTGTACAGGTTTTCTGAGGCTATAACTCTGTATGGGAGCAGAAAGCCTCACCTTTCTCCCGCTGAACAGCTGGTAGTTTCAAACTGCTGACCGTGAGATTCGCAGCCCGATTCGTAACCACTATGCTACCAGATCTCCTTTGAGTTTTAGTCTTGAAAGGGTCAATTTATTCATCTTTAAAATGAAGAAACTGGATCTTCGTATCTTTAAGGCAAATCATGATCTAAAAATGCATGATTAACTATGAACAGCTTTTAGTAATGTGACTAAGAAAGTTCAGGAAATGCTGTCAATTGAAAAGGCATCTTGCCTACTGAAGAGAACATACTGCAGAACAGAGATGGTTGTCTGTTCAGGCTAGTAAAGCATATCTCAGTTTGTATTCTGCCCCTCCAGGGAGCTGCAATTTACTTTCTTTGGGCAACTTATTCCATTTTTAAGTAGCTCTGTCACTAAGTTGTGGGTATTTTAAATGAAATGCCTTCTGCTACTACCACCTGTTGGTCCTGCTTTTACCTTGTACCATAAAATTAAGTCTCTTTCAGATGACTGTTTGAATCCCATGAATCTCATCTTCCATGAGTCTGTAGAAGACATTAAATAATATGAAAGGTTTCAGAAAGCCCATGGAAAAATGAAATGAAAAGATAATGAAGTTATTCACAAACTTTTTGAAGCCCCCTCATATTTACGTAGACATGAATGAAAGAGCAAATACTGCTAATGAAATAACATTATGGTAAAGTTAACTCCTAAAAGCCTTTATAATTTAATTTCTGTTAGGAAGAAGATGGCTGTTTGCTAAAAGTCTAGCTGTTTAGAAACATGGAAATGCAGGGAAGCCAAAGGAGCAAAACTAAAACCAGTACCAGACTTCCTTATTGTCTTAATAAATTGAGACCCTAAATAAAACAAGCAGGTAGATGGAGGTTTGGATTTAGTATCAGTGTATTCTAGACTAGTGTTTCCAAAACTTTTATGGTTGATTCTTGAGGAGATAGGGCAAGGGAAGGGTGAGAAGGAAGGAAAATAACTGTGCAGTTGTTAAGTTGTTGCTAAACCAAGGACTTGTTGTTGAATGCTGTTGTGTTGGTTGTTGGATGTTATCAAGTTAAATCTAACTCATGGCAACCCCATGTACTGGAATTGAACTTCTCCATAGGGATTTCTTGGCTGTAATAATAATGGAGACAGATCTACAGGCCTTTGTTCCATGGGACCACGGATGACTTCAAACTGCTAGCCTTTAGGATCACACTTGGATAGGCAAACCATATGTGCATCTAGGGACCAAGGAGAGGAGAAAGTAGAGAATATGATGCTTATTGACCACGGCCATTTTTCAACCCTTTCCAACAGTATTGGAGGAGGCTTGGTAGTGATGGACAACTTAGAGACTAAGAAAGTGAGATTGGCCAGTGTTTCCATAACAGCCTGTTTTAGTTCTCAGTCAGATCAGAAAGGTATAGTGCTGTTGTTCCACAGGATCTGAAAAGGAGTGAAGGAATACCCAGTTTTCAGTTACTCATTTCCTTCTCAGGCCTCATGCTGCCATAATGGACTGATTGGGAAGGGGTTAGAAGAGGGTGTGTTTTGTTTTCAGTGCTTTGCTAAGTGTGACCATCTACTTGTTGTGTTACCTTAACTTGTATCAACAGATACATAGTACAGGACCTCATGGAAACAGATCTTTACAAGCTCTTGAAGACCCAACACCTCAGCAACGACCACATCTGCTATTTTCTCTACCAGATTCTCAGAGGGTTAAAGTATATACACTCAGCCAATGTTCTACACCGTGACCTCAAACCTTCCAACCTGCTGCTCAACACCACCTGTGATCTCAAGGTCAGATAGATTGTTTATTTTTATGGTTATAATTACTGGAGAACGTGTTTACTGAGACATGTATCTATATTCATCCAGGACAAATATCAGTTAAAATTGCACTGATTATACATGAACAGACATTAATGGCCAAAAATATATAAGTAAAAATGCTTAGTCCTCTTCATTTCTTCTATTCCATTGCTCCCTCCTCTCCAGATGTAACCACTATAATAAATGAAAGTCTGTTTTCACAACTTTTTCCTACACATTTGCATGTGTTTTGTTCTGTATGTACATAGAATCATGTACAATATTATTTGTAAGTTTTAAAATATGTTTCATTGCTGATCTTCATTTTTTACATTTTATTAAGAACCCCTCAAAATACAGAAGAAAATTTGACGTTACTGATGTTTACATAATATTATTAAGTGCTGTTGTCAGTTCCGATTTTAATAAGGCATTCCAAATAAACATGAAAAGCCTAGATCCCTTGCAGTCCTCGGGGTTTTCTTAGAAATATCAAACATCTGTATATTTCTGTTATAATAGGTAGAGTGTCTTAGGCAAGGTTTTTTGGAGAAGCAAAACCAGCGAAACATAAATGTATATATAGAGACAAGAGAAGTTTATTATTGTGGAAGTGGCTCACAATTGCAGAGTCCTAGTTCCCCAGTGGAAGAGAGAGAAAGAGTCCTTTGGGAGCAGACCACACCCCAAAGGAAACAGTCATTTAATTGATTGGCTGTTCATAGCCACTCATCATAGTGTGAAGTTACTAGGTTTTATCACCATGGAAATAAGCACATCCCAACTGTTAAACCTCTGGAAATCCTGGTATAGTTGAGTTGACACTGAACCCTAACCATTACAGTCCACCCTTGTCAACTTAAAACCTATAAACTATAAATTATATATGCATGATCTCTAAATAAAGAAAATTGTAAAGCACACTTGCGCCTAATGTGATATAGCTAAAACATGTACAACCAAAAATGCACTAGCCCCATTTACAATTTAATATGGTACAAATGAGCAAAGCAAAAATATTTGACACACACACATACAAAACTAAAAATATATATTCATTTAAATATTCAGAGGTCACATTCTGCAAGCCAGCCTCTTGCCCATAGGCGCAAACCCTTATGCAGTCCATGACTTTGTGCCCTTCCTTAATGATGATTCTGGGATTATCTGTTCCTGAAACAAAAGTTAACTACTTTTTAGTTACATATCTTCTACAATTGCAGTTTTGACCATCACAATTAATCCTACTAACAGTTACTCACAGTTGAAATCATAAAATCCTTACCAATATCATCCTTCACTCCCTTTCACTAGATCCATCTGGAAAAGAGGAAAACTAGTCAAAGGGGATTCTCCTTTTCCCCGCTCATTCTAAAACTAAGCAGACCCATGAAAGCTTGTTAGCCAGACACTTCATACCTTTATTGTTGTTGTTGTTTTGTGCAGTGGAGTTGGTTCCGACTCATAGCGACCCTATACAGGGTTTCCAAGGCTGTAAATCTTTACAGGAGCAGAAAGCCTCATCTTTCTCCTGCGGAACAGCTGGTAATTTCGAAATGCTGACCTTGAGGTTCTCAACCCAATTCGTAACCACTACATTACCAGAGCTCCTTCATACCTTTATAATCCCTGCCATTTTGTTTCTGTAGAATCTCACTCTCTCGATACCACGTGTCTTAGGCTGTGTGTTGTAGAGAAGCAAAACCAGTGAAACATGCATGTATTTGTATACAGAGAAGTTTATTATAAAGGAAATGGCACACAATTGCAGAGTCCCAGGTCACCAGGGGAAGAGAGAAAGAGAGTCCCTCCCACTTGTCTGTTATATTGGGAGCAGACCACATCTCCAAGGAAGCATCCCTTTAGTTGATTGGCTGCTCATAGCCTGTATTAGGTTTCTGCACCATGGGAATAAGCACATCCCAACTGCTAAGCCTCTGAAAATCCTGGCCTAGTCTAGTTGGCACAGAGCCCTAACCATTATAGAGAGCTATACAAGGAGGGAGATGTAGGGATACCTTAGATGTTCATGAGGGGTGTGGATTCCATCTATAAAATACACATGAGAACAAACAAGATGGCAGATCGGGTGAAAGTGCAGTGAGGAGCTCCGCCGGCAGCAACACAGAATACTGGACCAAGCAGGCTCAGGGGATGGTCCCAGACCTCTGAACCACATATAAAGGAATATTTAGAAGGTTGGAAGGCTTACGGCTGGGGGAGTTTGTGGCAGAAGCAAAAATCCACTGCTTTCTGGTTTGGGACGCTCAGCTGCTCCAGGAGCAACCATCTTGTGTGGGGCCAAGCGATGAAGGAGGCCATGGACGCCCGACAGAGCTGCGGATATAGAGGTGTGGACATTCTTTTCTTTTGATATCTGTTCGTTGGTCCCTTGCTGTCTGCGTACCTCCATTTTGGTGATGAGCTAGTGGACACCCCAGCCCCACCCTCGGAGGGTTCTATTACGCATATGCACAGATCTCCTCGAAATTTAAAGAGATAGTTTCCACTTAAACCAGACAACCACAGCCGGCCCTGAACTATTTATAACTAGAAAAAAGGCTTCAACGGGGATTATGGATCAGGACAAGCATACCAAAAAAGGAAGTAGGCTGAAAATTGAATCCTAAGTTGTATCACAAAGGCCAACAGTGGCATCTTGAAATTTCTCAAGAAGAGTGAAAAGGGAAACCCATTTCCTAATCACATCTACCTGGAGGCATATAGAAAGCATAAAAAAATA